ACGAGTAGCTTGGTGGGTGCTTCGGGCTCAGGACTTCTCATGAGGTTACAGTCAGGATGTCAGTCAGGATGTTAGTCAGGGCTACAGTCATCTGAAGGCTTGACTGAGGCTGGCGGACCTGTGTCTGAGACGGCGCGCTCATATTAATGGCAAGCCAGTGCTGACTTTTGAAGAGAGGCCTTAGTTTTTCACTCTGGGGTCTTCTCCAGGGGCTGCTCCACTGTTTTGGCAACACTGCATCTGACTGTCTCCAGAGTGAATAATTGAAGAGAGAGCCAAGGTAGGAAGTTCAGTGTCTTTATAACCTAGTCCCAGAAGTCACACACTGGCACCTCTGCCATCTGCTGTCGGACGCACACGCCTGCCGTGATCCGGGGGAGGACACTCCTACGACAGGAGGAGAGAATCACTGGGGAACCTCTGGGAGACTGGCGGAATTTGGATTCGAGTCTGGGATGTGCTTTCTGCAAAGCTGTACTCTTGACCACTCTATAGTATTGCCTTCCTAAAAAAAATTCTCCCTGATGTGTTTAAGATACCTGGATAGTCATGAAAGAGTAAGCAATGATAAAATAAGAAAAACTACAATGTATTGAGTGTCTACTATGTCCCAGGCATTATACAGAATTATCTGCATCATTTCCCCCATCAAATGCAATGATAGTACTGAGAGAAGTTCTATGATTTGCCCAGAGTCTCAGAAGGGAAATCAAAATTGTCTTTATGAACGTGAAGCCTGTGTGAGATGAATGAACAAGTATGAATGGGGGTCAGTTGTGTGAGGGGAAGAAAGAAGCCAAGGTCGCAGGAGTCTGCGATTGAGAGAAGGCTGGCAGCAGACACCAGAGCTGAAGTTCAAAATCAGGCTGAAGCAGACAAAAGAAAAGCTTCAACTGGAGCGCCACCGAGTGAGCAGTCTTAGCAGGAGAGTCTGGGAAGAGAGCAGCCTGTAAGGAGGAAGGGGAGTGGGTACCGGGCAGGCGCCAAGAAAAGCCTGCTCAGTGCCATGTCTGACAAAGTAGCCACTGTCTCCCCTTCCCTGCGTAGAGCTCTCCCTCCCCCCCAAATAGCCACGCATCATGCAACGTTGGGAGCCACCAGCCAAACCTCCCATTAGCAGCCTGTCAGCTTCGGTGATTCCTGCGCCCTGGTGCCCCGCGGAGTGTGTGGAAGGAGTGACAGCCCTATACTCCACCATTCAAGCAACTGCCATCCACCCCTTCCCCAAATTTAACTTCAGATTGGAATCCTTGAGAAGGACACTGGTATAGACAGGATGGCCCATCACGGCACGCCAGCGGCCAAGCTCTTGCTCACTTCTGCTGCTTGACTGCTTGACACGTGGCAATACTCCCGGGTTGAATTGCTCCAGGAAGAGCCTGTAAGAGTTTTCTTGGAGCAAAGGAAAACCAGAAGACAGACATGGCCTCTCTCCTGCCTTCCCATTCCCTGCCTGGTTTTCCTCTGAGAAGGAACAGTCAAGGCTCTTGCAACCTGATTTACTCCTTTCCAGAAACCTCCAACACAGGAAAAGGTTGTAAATGGGGTATTCAGTCCTGTCTGGTACCACTTCCTCCTGTTCCCATCTCTGTGGGGGAAATGATCTCAAGGGGAGGCTCCACTGGTGGCCATGGAAACAGAGTAATTGACGTAACAGTGTGAAAGTCATAAACTTAATGAAACTATAGTTTTTTTTATTGCACTTCACCCTCATCTCTGATTAAATCAGATCAGCATAATGCAAAGATATTAAATTTCCATGTTTCTCATTTTCTCTCCCCTGCCAATAGGAAGGAAGCTGTGTTGCGAGGGAACCCTGCCGGTGGACTGGGAACATCATGGCTCTTGATTTTGCTGAAAAATGGATTTTAATAATTGGTGCTGGCTGGCCCACAAAGCAAAGCCAACTTTTGGGAAATGGTGGGATTCTGGCTCCGGGGAGATACAGCTGCTTTCCTCTGGCAGATGGGGACTGTGGGGGACCGGACATCGACGGGTCAGTGCACCAGGGAGACACATTATTTCAAGAACCAGTTCCAGAGCACTGCGTCTGGGCCAGGACAGTGTGACAGCTGGGGACACAGAGAGGAAGGAGAACTGGAACATCTGAGTGTCAGGTGCTCACAACTGGAAAGAGAAGTTCACCTGGTCACTTCTCCCTGCTTACAACAGAAACCAACGAGAATGGGGACTGGGGATGGAATCCATGCCGGCCAAACAGGAAACCGCTGTGTGACTGGTTCAAGCACCGGGCTAGGTTCTCCAGGGATTTGAAGATCAATGATATTGAGAATGATGCCATTAGCGCTTTCCCTCCCACAGGGGCGACGTGCAGACGGCTGCAATGCAAAAGGTCACTTGACAAAAGGAAAAAGTGCTCTGAACGTTTTCAGGAAGGAGGGCTTGCTTCCAGCAGGGGCTTCAAGAAAACATCATGAAGGTGTTGCCCTTAGCCAGCGCTTAAATAGCGACCCCTGACTTTAAGTCTCCGAGCTCTCAGGCTGTGAAAGGTTTCCCTTCTCCTGCAACCCCGCACAGTACAGCTTGCCGTATGTTATCGCCCCCATGTGTTACCTCCCCTCCATCTGCCCCAAATCCCTCACACTCCCGGCACATTCCAAGTCGCCTTCAGGCTCTGAACCCAGTGGTCTCCAACCCTCTAACCCACAGCTCCCACCTTAGTTTCCAATTTTTAAACAAATGTAATTATTCAAGAGTGATGGATCCAAGCAATATTCCCAGAGGAGGGCCTAGGGTTCATCTGAAACCTAACATACTTGGCTCAGTTCCCTCAAACCTGGGAAAAGCTAGCATCACCTAGAGAGACCAGAAAGTTCTTATAGAGACTCAAAATACTAATAATTATTATTGTTACTATGCTGCAGTCTCCGCCTTCATCCTCTGAAAGGACCGGAACAGGGGGCAGGACCCTGAGCTGAGGACGATCATCACATCATTACTACCGTCCCTCTGCTGAGCATTCCCTCTGTGCCAGGCGCCTGCTCTCTCACCACAGCTCTGTGAGGTCGGCGGATGCAGCCAACATCTTCAACAGAACCGTTCGGGGGCAATGCCACGTCCTCCAGTTCTTGGACCACGATGTTATTTGTGCAGCTGGTAGGGATTCCCTCTCCTCCCCAGTTTCCACGTGCGTCCTGCCAATCTGCCACCTCACTTAACGTTACTGAGAAACCACACACGGGGACTCACCCACCCAGAAGCACGTGCGCTGCTCCTGACTCGAGTTTCTGCCCGGTTCACCAGCTACCTGGTCACTGAGCTACTTCTGTTCTTTCTGGGGCCACCCCAGCCATCCCCCTGGCGGCAGGGATCCCCACACAGAAAGGACACAGTGCCTTTCAGCTGGCAGGGATGCGGGCACGCCAGCTCGCGTGCGGACCCTGAAGTTACTGGGTACCCCAGTAACTGGTACTTCCCAAACTACAGCGCTAATGTATCTGTTATGTCTTCCTAGCAAACATGGAGGTGGCAAGTCCAGAGGCCAGCGGGAAATAAAATGCATTATTTTATGGCAAGAGAAGAAAAATTTAAACAAAAAAATTCTCTGCCCTTTGGCCTCCTGTCCCACACTGTGCATCGTGTATCTGCATCACTGACCCAGCCTCCCCCGTCGGCAGGAGCACCTGCTCGGCCAGAAAGGGCAACGTTCTCCCAGCATCAACAAGACCACTCCTTAGAGATAACATTCCTCCTGATCTCCTAAGAGGCCGGGCTGACACTTAGATCTGGATTACGTAAACTGTCAATAATACATCATTTGCTATACAGCCCTCTGTCTCAAAACTACTATAACTGTGACTTCTAGTCTATAGAACTGTTGACGTCTAACAGGTGGAACAGTTTCAGGGCTTTCTGCGGTGCTTTTCTTGGATTGTAATCCTCAAATCTGACTCAAATAGGATTTTCCACTTCTTTCTCAGATGAACTGATTACTTTTTCATTGACACCACACATACAACTGCAGTGACGTGAGGGAAAACATAGGTCTCAACCTGGGCGATCAATGTCGAAGAGTGGGGCATGGGGAATACGGACAAGCTACAGGTCCTGTCCATCAGGAGTCTGAGCTCAGCCTTCAGTCTCTACCATGTGGCAGGGGAGGCCCAGGATGCTGTGGGGTGGTCTGGCTGCAGGAAGCAAAGAGTGGCGGGCGTCTAGCACCAAGTGTGAGAGACGCAGACCCTCAGAGTGCAGTGACAGCCAGCTGCTCAGCACAGGGAAGAGGCGGGTCCTGTGGTAGGCCTATCCAAGAAGCAAAGTGGATGGGATTTAAAGAAATGAAATACTGATCAAGGAATTCCTCTGTGTCTCTTAAGGACAAAGTTAATCCCAAATTTATTGAGTGGAAGAAAGTACGTTCACAACAGGTCATAGTATAGAGGAGATTATGTTCAGAAATGTAGAGAGCTCTAAAAACACAGGCCAAAACGAATGTTCCATTATCTGCCTGTTAATCTCAAGACGCTGCCCCAGACTCCTGCCAAAGGTTGATCACTAAGTCTTCCCTCCTGTTTGATCTTGGGAAATGTACAGAAAAAACAAACCAAAACCAAAACAAACAAACAAACAAACAAAAAAACACCCAGAAAACAAAAAATCAACGCCTGTGTATTCTGTCTTCTCACAGAAGACTCTCAAAACCTCTGGTTACCAAATGCATGTAGATTTTTCCTACACTAAGCAATTCTCTGACACCAGTTTAACTCAATTCAGAAGCTGTCTGTCTGCAGTTAGCACAGACCCCACGGGTTAAGGGCTCAGTCCCAAAAGACAGCTCCTACTTTGGACGCCTTCAGCCTCAGTCCCCTCCTCAAGTGTAGCTCTATGCTAGAATGGCTCATGGGACTCAGGAGAACAATTTATCTACCAGATTACTGATTTGTTTCAAAGGATCTGTCAGGAGCAGCCAGATGGAAGAGACACACAGAGCAAGGTGTGTGGGAGGGGCCCGGAGCTTCCGCACCAGGTCCCGGCTCTCACCCTCCCCGAATCTCCACGTGTTCACCAACCTGGAAGCTCTTCACCGCCTCAGTTCGGATTTGTATGGAGGCTTCGTTACACAGGGATGATGGATGAAACCATCGGCTCTTTGGTGACTCAGTCTCCAGCCCCTTTCCTCTCCCTGGAGGTCAGGGGAGGGGAGGAACAGGAAGCTGAAAGTTCCCACCCTCTGAACGCGAGGTTGGTTCCCCTAGCAACCAGCTCCAACCCTAGGGGCTTCCCAAAAGTCAGCTCATTGACAGAAACTCTGGTTTGGCTGAAACGGGGCTTGTTATAAATAACAAAAGGCACTTGTGTGGCTCTTATCACTTAGGAAATTCTGAGGGTGTTGTTCGGAGCTGTGTGCTGGGAACTCTGGATGACGACTAAGATGTCCCTTTCTTATTATCAGTCACATCATCCGAGGAGGCCACGTGTGGGAAGGGTATCCCCAGGCTGCACCCAGGGTTTGCCCACACGTGTATGTGTCGAATACCCACGCGGCCCACCTCTTCCCTTATTCTGATCTCCTGCCTGTCTGGACTGGATCATGCCTGGAGGTCCACCGAGCATTCCAAACGCCAATGCCTTCATTTCTCTAAGCGCCACTCCTGTTTTCCAACATGCGCCTCTGCGAAAGACACCATGTAGCCAATGTGGGGCCAACTGGTATCCTTCAAAGTCCAGCGACCCCCATTCCTGGGCTGTCACATGTCTACCTGCCATCTCTCAAAAGATAAAGCACATTCTTTACTGGATGTGTTCGCCCTAACAAACTGACAGCCCTAGGGAATGCCTAATCTCACAACGGCTCAGGCTGGCGTGTTTCAGCCCACCCCATCAGAGTCATGAACCCCACTGCCCCTTCACTGGCCCTAAACTTCTTACCTCACCTACAACCAGTCAGAGAATTGTTCCTGCTCGCAGCCCCCAACCCACTGTATTCCAACCCCTTCCCCATAAAAGACCTCAGCCAGCGACCCTCGGGGCTCCCACGGGCACCTCCCGTCTGTGCGGCCCGCTGCTCTCGGTGGCCGGGTAACCTAATAAACGTTTCCTTCCGCTTTCCTCTGAATTTACCAAATTCTTTTAGTCTCTGATTGTGACTCATCACAATGACACGAGGAGGCACTTTTCTCATGAAGCACAGCAAAGCTCTTTGGGGAGAAATGATCTTCCTGAAACACATTTAAGAACACCAGCGAGACAGTCACCGGAGCTCCCCACACACATCCTCAAGATCTGCCTCTTTCCCGTTGCTCGGGTTTGTTCCACGGGTTGCATCTCACTGACCACCTGCCGGCCTCCTCCACATGCAGAAGGGGCCTCTCCCCGGGAAGCCCCAGCACACACTCGGGGCCTCAGGAGGATTCCAGTGTGTGTTCAGGCTCTAAGGACGTCTCCTGTGCAGAACTGAGCACAGACTGTACGTGGGAGGAGATGTTCCCTTGGTGTCTGCTCTAAATGTTTCCGAGTTGATGGTTCCAAGAGAGGGGAATGAATGGGGATTGCCCAAGCCACACTTAAGCTGGAACAGATCAGTTCCCGGGGTTCTGCAGGAAGGGTTTTTCTTTTGCTCTCTGTAGCCCTAATTTAGATCTCTGGGTAAGGTCGTGGGCCAGACCCCTCCCACCCTTTCCCCCTCGGCTCCTACTGCATGGCCCCCACTGTGGCCTCAGTTTCTGAGCTCTGCCAGCGTCTCCTTCTGTGGTCCCTGCCCCTAAGGTCACGGTGACCTCCACTGTCGCTGCTCTTGGCTTCCCAGCTCATTCTTGGTGACAGGAACATCCAGGGCAGTGACCCAGACAGCACCCTGGCCTCTCAGTCCCTTGGTTTTCACCTGCAAGGATATTTGCCAGCTCTACGTCGTCTGCTGTCTTCATGGTCACACCTCTTCCTTGTCACTCCTCAGTAACCACACCTCCCCCAAAGCCCTAACTTTGAGTTCGGCCTCATGATCACCATTTCTAGGTCTTTTACTCTGGTGTCCCCCTGTGCTACAATCCTTTTATTTCATGGGGATTTCCAAACCTTATCCTCACTTTCTTAATTGCCCAGCTACAAATCCATGGTTCATGAGTTTAATAATCACTTCCCTGTAAATATTCTCAGACCTTGACCGCCACCAGGAGCCCCAACCCCTGCCCCATCTCACTGTCCTGCTCACCTAGTAAATCCCAGCCGTGGCGGAACCCACATGTCTGCCCTTCTCCATGCCATCTCACGAGCAGCTGAGCTTTGTGTAGAAAGTCACAGATCCAGGATAAGTTCTTTGCTTTAAAAATCACAGCCAGTGTTCCCACGTGAGCCCTCCATTCTACCTGCTGCATCTGTCCCCCTTCACTGCGAAATTCCCTTCTCCACACCGCGAGATGGCTGTTTCATAGTTTCCTTTTGGCTCATACTTTCCCCACGCTCTCCTCTCCCACACGCTGAGGTGCTGATCTCCCCTTGTGCTTACTGGGAACATGTGAGCCATCAGCCGAAAACGCACTCACCTTCCCAGCAGCGAGTCTGTAAGTCTTCATTTTTACCCCTCTCTCCTTTTCCCTTCCTTTTGTAATAAGAAAGCATTTCACTAATAGCCCAGATCTAATGCTTCCACTGCTCTTCTGCGTGCCATTCCCTTTCGCTCACCCAAGGAATTTGCTGTTTTGGCTTTTCTTTCTCTCTCCCTCATTATAGGTCTTTCTGGAGGGAAATTTATTGCTTTAAATGCTAATATTAGGCATAAAGAAAGGTCTAAAGTCAATTGTCTAAACGTCTACTTTCAGAAATTTTTAAAGACTTGGAAAATAGACTGAAAATAAGTAGAAAAAACATTGAGATAAGAGCAGAAAACAATTTAATTGGAAAACAATTAACGAAAGTGAAAGTTAGTTCTTTTGATCAAAAGACTAATAAAACTGATAAATCCCAAGCAAGACTGATTAAGGAAAAAAAGGGAGCAAGCACAATTGATCGATATCAAGAGTGAAAGCGGGCTTATCGCTACACATTGTATAATTACCGAAATGAGTGAAAGGAAATGCTATGCGTGAGGCTATGTCAACGAAAGCAACAATGTCGAGGAAATGAGCCAGTTTCTTGAAAAACTCAAATCACCCAAACTGGCACAAAATAGCTTTCTATCTACCAAACAACCTAAACTGATTATCAAAAACCTCAGCACAGAGAAAACTTCAGTCCCCAGTGGTTTCACTGGGGAATTTCATCAAATATTTGAGGAAGAAATAAGACCGAATTTACACAACCTATTTCGGAAGGGAGGGATGAGCTACGTGGAGGCAACAAAGGAGCGAAAAAAGGGAGACATTACAAAGTGTGGTTTTATGGCTTCATTTTGATGACGTTATAGAACAATTAAAATGAATTTGTTGTGGCAAACTTCGAAGCAGTGGTAGCAGTACTGGAAGGGGATGCTAGGGAACTTTCTGGAATCAGGACTGGCTTCCATGGATGTCAAAATCATACATTATGCATTTCAATATATGTAAACTTAACGAGTAAATGTTCAAGAAAAGTGCAGAGTAGCGGGGCAGGGATGAAACAGACCGACAGGGTTGTTGAAGCCGAGTGATGGGTGAATGGGGGTTTATGACCTTATTCTGCTGTGTTGTGTATGTTTTGGCTTCTCCACAGTAAAGAGTTTAAAACGGAGTAGTCATGAAGTCTGATTTCATAAAGTGAGATATGACAATTGTCTATCACACTGTTTCGAATCTGCATCCTTCAGATCTGCACAAAATAGAGTACATTTGTATTTCCTTCCAGGCTTCTCTTTAGAATGTTCTCACCAGTACTGACTATGGAGTTTTGCCCCCAGCTTTCCTCCTCATCTTATACTATCAGCATCTTTGCAGTTTTACAGCCTTTGAGAGCATCACTTTTAATGGCCACCCCTCTGGCTTCTTAATGCCGAAACTTAAATTTTATCTCATTATTTTACCGACATTGAGTGTTAGTGCTACCCAGGATAATGCCTCTTGAGCCCACCCCTGAGGAACACATAGCTGACTGTTTATGTGCTGTGCGCCCACCTGATACTAAGGAGGATTTAAGGCAGCCTGAAAAGACACGTAAAATGCAAGATAGAATAAATGCTAAAGCGAATACAAAAAGAAAGAGGCACAAAGTGAAAGAGTTGAATCAAGGATATTTAAGGAAGGACAAGTCAGACATTCTTCTCTGCTAAAGTAAACCTCAGCAAAACATACCCAGGACATCTAACTCTGAGCAATGATATGATACCACATGGTATTTTTCTTTCTCTATTTGGCTTACTTCATTTAGCATGACAATCTCCAGGTCCATCCATGTTGCTGCAAATGGCATTATTTTATTCATTTTTTATGGCTGAATAGTATTCCATTGTATATACATCCCACAGATCAAAGAGAAAAAAGAAGAACCAAATTTATCCCTGATTTACACTTGAAAGTCTTCAAATGTACTTCAGAGGACTTTTCATAACCAGCACAGCTCCGGGCACATAACAGGCATTTAATAAGTATTCCTGAAAAGAGTGGTTCAGCTCTGATGCCCTTGGCAGGTTGCAATTCGGGTTCCCTGTGAATGTCACCAGGGCCCTAGGAAGGGAAACCAGAAATGCACAGGAAAGGGATGCTGGGAAATGTAGTCCAGACTCGCCAAGAATGCAAAACTTGTTCCTGTCTGTAGCCTCAAAGGTTAAGAAAGATCAGTTGAAGCTATTAATCCTGGGCTTGGTAAATTACAGCTCCAAGAAAATCTGGGCTTTCTGAGTAATTTACCAAGCCCAGGCACATCATGGATCAAGTCTGGTTGGAAGGTTTTGTAAAAGTTATTCCTTTGTTGGTAAAAGAAGAGCCATCGGAGGAAAGGACTTTGTTTGTTTGTTTCTTCTACCCTAGCTTTCTCCGTTTCTCCCAGCCACCGCCTCCTGCCTTTGAAAGCTGTCAAGCTGCTCATAGCTGCATTGACCATCTTACCGCCATAAAAATGACACGCCACATGCTGGGGTTGGCAGAGTAGGAAGGTGGAAAGAGCCTGGGCCGTGTCGAGACGGTCGAGCAGTTGCACCAGTCCTGGGCTTTTCACCTGCAGACTCTGAGAGATAACCAAGTGTCTTTAGGAATCAGCCTCTGCAAACCGAGCATCCTGTTACTTGCAGCCAAAGCCACTCCTAGCTTAGCGCATCCCCTTAACCTTACCAGATCCGTGCCTCAAGGAACTTCAAGGCAGATTTTGACCTCAACAGTTCTAAAAGCTGGGCTCAGTGCTTCCTCAAGACTGCTGTTTGTTTTCTCTTTTCAATAAGAAGTTTCCTTCAAAAGTTCTATGTTTGATATATGTATTTGTTAAGACATTTCCTGAATACGCTGCATCGTGCTTACCGTAGAGGGAAGCGGTCACTCTAGTGATACCACGGGCAGAATCCTCAGGCGTGCTGCGTAACGTAACAGTCGATTCCCAGCAGATGATCAGTCCTTCCACAGCATAACTAGACTACATAAAGTTTAAATGGTCATGAGATGCGATGACATATCCAGCCATACCAAATTTGCATAGGCAAGAAAACATATGCGTAGATAAGTCAGATTCCACTTTTAAAGAATTAAATCGGAGCAGACCAAAACAAGACAAACTGTGTCATACCAACCAAGCACGCCCCCAGGGCTGACAAAGATAAGGCTTGCCAATTTATACTAATTCTTTGCAAAGAAAGTTCCATGGTTCATTTTCTGACAGCTGGTACAATAAAGATTTAAAACTCTGAATAGGAGGGAGGAGGTGGTCTCCATCTGCGGTCATTACCTGATTCTGCTGATTTCAGCTGCCAAGACCAACTCCATAGGGCACATTTTTTTTTTGATCTTTAAAAATCATTTATTATAGACTATTTCAAACCCAGAGAGGAGTGCAGAAAATAATATAACACCCATCCATGTATTCGCTGCTGATATTTGACAAATGTTAACATTTTACCATTTGCTTTGGATGTTTTAAAAATAAAACTTTACAGAAACTCTAAAGTATCTGTAAGTATCCCACACAATCTTGTCTCCTTATTTTTTAAATGTGTTTTTCATGCTGCATGTCTTTGCAAAATTAGACCACCTGCACATCTCATATTCAGGAAGCTGCCATATAGAAGTCTGTCTTCAAAACATACTTAACATACTTGGTTAGTAGAGTTAAGCAGTGATACTAATCCACATTTTGCATAACTTCGCAAATCATTAAGACCACCTTTTTCTTCCTTTGTCTCAGCAGATCTTCCAGTTAACCTTGAATCTTGCAAGTTGTAAGTGGCATCATCAGATTCCTGGAAACAACGCCTGAGGCAGCCCTCAAGGCTAGTGAAAATTCTGGTCACCGGTGTCAAGCTATGTGCTGGGGGTGAGGGAGAGCCTGCAACACAAACAGTTTTCCAACACCACCAGTTGTGTGTCCTACCGTTCAACTCAATTTTGACACTGTCTACCTGCATAAAGCACCAGATCCCACAGTTCAGTCCTACAAGACTGTCCCCCACCCCCTAATCCCAGTTTTAGATGCCATTCACAAGTCCAGGTTGTCACTTCAGCTTATGACTACTCAGCTCTAGGCTGGAGCTTCCAAAGGCCCTTCCTCCGGTTAGTGTAACCGGCCAAGAGCAGCTCACAGAACTGGGAAACATTTCACTCACTAGATCGCCGGTTTATTACAAAAGGATGTAACTTAGGAAGAGCCAGGTGGAAGAGACGCATAGAACACGGTGTGGGGAACGGGCTCAGGGCCTCCACGCCCCCTCTGGGTGCACCACTCTCCCCAAGTCTCCGTGTTTTCACTGACCTGGAAGCTCTCTGAACCCTGTCCTTTTGGGGTTTTCATGAAGGTTCCATTACCTAGGAATTATTGATTAAATCATTGACCATTGTTGATCGAACTTAATCATCAGCCCCTCTAGGGGTGGGACTGAAAGTTCCTACCCTGGCAACCAGCCTCCATCCTTAGGTTACCTAGAGACTTTTTAAAAGTCACCCCATTAACAAGAGACATCTTTTGGAGGAATGATGTTTGCAGAGCCCCTGGGAGTTGGAACAGCAGAGGAGGGGCCCCCTGGAGGGAGCTCTGGTCATGGGGCAAGTCAAAGACCAAGTGCCCAAGATGGGAGGAAGACGGGAGGCCATATCCTGACCTCTCTTTCCTCCATTTTTCAGTCTCCTGCCCCTATTTCCCATCCATTGAACCCCATCAGAAACCATATGGAAGGAGATCCTGGGGCGACGTGGGATACAGAGCAGGGCAGGGGAAGGTGGAGAAGGAATCTGCTGGAAATTGGTGGAGAGGAGCAGGCAGATGGAGAGTCATCACATGGAGCTGCTGTCTGGTATGAAGGTCTGCTTTCAAAAAGAAAAAAAAATTCAGTAACTGTCACTGTGTGGGTTTAGGACAGATTATTCCAGCAGGCACATGCTAGGCAGGAAATCACAGCCCAGAAGGAGATCCACGCAAGGTCCCGGGTCTGACCCTGGAGAAGATGGGCCTGGGTGGTGCTTCCGGAGGAGAGGCTGCCGGAGGTTTGCAGCCAGGCTTCTGGTATCACGTGTGACCTGTCTGCATCTAACTTTTGGTCACTTCCGATGGGTCCCCTGCCCTGCCTGTCAGGGTCATGGAGGATTCTCCTGGCGTGTCTCTATCCCCGGCTGATGGGGCTCATCACTACGTTTGAGGAAGGTGGTGAGAGCAGGGTTTACTCTGAGCAGGTTTGGAAAACTCAGAGTAAGAGGTCATGTTAAGAGGTCATGGTCCTGATGGGGCCACCCAGGCATGTCCACACCGTTGGAACCTGCGGAATAGGAGACGCTCATTTTATCTGCAGAGAGTAGACCTCAGTGCCCTGAGACAGTTCATCAGGTTTGCAGGGCTAACTAAAAATCTAAAGCCACAATTGCCCATCTTCTGTGTATCTCTCCCAGGGAGGACAAGGTGCTCCTATTGCGAAGCTAGAATCCTTTAGAATGTCGTTCAGATCCCAGGATATGAACTCATTCCTGCCACTTTAATAGGTCTCTTTCTGTCCTTATTGCTACCTTTATGTCCCTCCTGAACTACTGCCGTGGCCTTGTCGCTGGTTTTGATGTCTCTGGTGTGGTCCTCTGTCTCCTTCTCCAAGCTGCAACTGGAGAGATCT